TTAGGACAACAAGCTGCACTTTTCCTCCTGCTCTCTGCATCAAGATTTTATTAGTCCACAGCCCAAATGGAACCAAGTGGCTTGGGCACCAGAGGGGGGTGTGGACTGGATGGGTGATGGGTTCTTCACCAATATCTTCCTCCAAACAAACCCAAAGAAAAGCAAAAACAATTGCAGCAGTCAGAGTCATGGGGCAAGAAAGAGAAACACTGAAGCAGCCGTTCCTTGGACTTCAATGTTGATCTTTCTTGTGCTGACATGCATGCAAGTAAGATCTGTCTTTGGCAGTTCACAAACCCTAAGTAAAGCAAGAAGTCGACATTTCAGAGACAATCCCAAACCCTTCTCTTGTTACTGCTTCCTTTTTCTTTGCTACAGAAGGTTGTAAGAAACACGCAGGCAGGTACAAAAATAGAGAGTTGGATCTTTCATCACTTGGTTGAGCAACTGATGCAAGATGAAGTATTTACTGGCAGCACCTGTAGCAATAGCCCTGCATGTTGCAATGCTGGCACACCTTGCAGGATTTGGCCCATAACACTTCTGCAGGTGAAAAGTCCTCTGTGTTGAGCACTAGTGAAAGAGGTCATTGTGCTACAGCATAAATATTTACTAATAGTCCTTCCTACAGCTGTTCACCAACAATTTTCCCTTCAGAGAATGACCAGACTTCTGGAACAAGTGATGCTGTTTATTATTGCAATAATAAACAGCAATTGCAAGAGACGGCAATGGAGGTTGTCCAGCACTTCCTTGTTGGAAGACTTTGTTTTCAGTTATAAGTCAGGCAAATCTCACCTATTTGGGCTAAGATTTCCCAGGACGGCCTGATGGCTGGAGCATGTGATGGCTCCATATGTGCAACCTCACAGTTTCTCCAAGCTGGTCACAGCTTGATACAGTCTTCAGTTACACCATCACATGCTATTTCTTTCTGCAGAACATACCTCCATTCAGCACACAAGATGGGCAGTTTTCAAATAATGAGTAGCTATTCAAACATTGTGTTTCTTCCTCTTTGACCTCAGGCTTCCTTTTAAAGCACACGGGCAAGGAAGTTTTATTCCGCAGTAAAGAAACCACAGGTTTCAACCAAGCATCTAAAACCCAAATAAAGTAACTTTTTCACACCTGTAGATCATAAATCAGCTCTTCTGAATTGATTCAGCTGGAAAAAACCTTAAAGACAAGATTTTCATGGGCATCACTGTGCAAATAACTTTCTGCAAAGGTACAGCACGTGTGTTTGGATGAGCTACAGATAATTCTCCACAAAAAGGAACCATTGTACTTAATAACTGCAATGCTGATTTAATACTGATTAAAGAGAAGTTCCTCTTCCAGCATTTGTAAATCTGTCTGCAGCGTAATTGGCATCCCAAATCTTGTGGTAAGCCACAAAAACTATTAAGGCTGGCTAGGAGAGGAAATTGTAGTTTTGACTTATATTGGTTATCTGCTTTTACTGGCTTACATTTCATGCGGGGATGTACTAGAGAAGGATTCCTTGGATCTTCGGGATCCAGGCCCCACAGTCTGAGAAGATGGGGAAATTAGCAGGGCAGAAACCAATTGCTACCATCTGGGTTGGCAAAACCTTTGTCTGAGAAAAAGGTCAAAAACCTAGAATAAGACTCCCTTCCAACACAGCAGCATGAAGATGCTAAATTAGCGAGAGAAGAGTTTAGCAAGTGTTATGATGGAAAGACAGTCTTTTAGGGTGAGATTTAAGAGGTTTAGGCTCAACTCTGAGCCACAGCTCATATTTTATGTGGCCTTGGACTAAATAGCTGGTGTCTCTTTGCCCTAGTTACTGTTGTAAAACCACAATAATCCATCTCATCTGCGCTTGCAGACTGAGAAGCTCTCCAGCCAGGCAACGTGTAGGTATGTCTACCAGACGTGTAGAGGCAGACCTAAATTTGCTCTGCTCATGCCCTGAGCTGGCTGGTTGCAAGATCTGTCATGAAAGCCACAAAGCAACATTCAAACAGGCTTATACCAAAATTAATACATCTCACAGAGACCAACCTGCAATGGAGACAAGGGAGCTCACCTGTGCCATGTCTGCCAGCACCCACTAATGCTGGTAGATACATTGCCCTTCTTATTCCTATGGGCCATGTCACAGGTTCTGTTGGTTCCCTATGCAATAATGGATTACAGAGCTAAGATTAATAAGAGTTATACAGCCCTGAATGCAGGCAGAGAGGTTCAGGCCTGCTGAATTGTAGTCTCAGCTCTTTGTAGAATCTTGAGTAAACCTTCACCTTACCCTGTTGCAGTGTATACATATATAACACAGGTGTAACAGTTCCAGCAGTGTGGCAGAGCTCCGTTAAAAGCATATAGGATAAATCCAAAACCTTTCAATAAGCTACTGCATCAGTTCCAGATATTATTGCTTAAGTTTCCAGGATGTTTTAATGTCAAAATGAGTTTTATCTTTTTCAAGTTCCAACATTTAACAAATCCTTTAATGCTATTCTAGATTTAATACCTTAACCACCTTGCCCATGTCTGACACCTGTGTGGTTTTACATGTTTGGCGTCAGCAGTAAAGTTGGAATAAGAGGGCTTTTTCTTCTTTGAAGGAGTGGGAGAATAAAGAGGCCATATGGTTCAAAAAGCCAGTCAGTCTAATGAAGTTTGTGCTTTCCAGAGCACAAACAAAACAGCTCCATCAATTTGATCTTCATCCTCAAAACTGACATGCAGTTGGTTTTAAATCACTGCCACCTTCTCAAAAATCAACAAAGGATTAATTTGCTCTCAACCAAAAGCATTTTCACCAAGACGAACACAAGCATCTGCTCAACACATTAAATGTTTGGGCTCCTTGAAAGAACAAGTCAGTGATACCTTGTGTTTACTCACAGACCTTGGCAAGAAAGACACTAAGGAAACATTTGTTTTCAGTGAAAAGCAATTGGTTCGAAGCATTACATTAACACATTCTGTACCACTGGAGACAAGGGACATAAGCAATTCAGCAAAATGGTTTGAGCAACAACAGTGCACAAGGGTACACTGTGAGACAAGGGAGGAAGGTGCACAGAGTTGTAAGTACAGGGTTTAGCAGCATTACAAGGACGCATGGAGATGAAAGATAAGTCAGCCCATATGTCTGCCACGCTTTTAGTTTAAAGTTACCCATTTCTTGGCACTTGGTGACCAATATTTGTTTGCATTGGGCTCAATCTCACACCCACAGAGGCCAGTGGGAGCTTGCCATTTCCTTCCATAGCTGCCCGATGAGGTTCTAATAACTAGTGTTCGTGCCCAGGGCTTTTCAGTGACAAATATAATGAACACTATTATTCTTAACACAATTAAATTTGATAATCCCATTTCCCCAAGCAACTGAATTGGAGGTTTTGCCTCAATCTTTCCTGAATTCTAGTCCAACTTTTACCCTCTGCCTCCAGGCTTTTCCTTTTCATTTATTTCTGTTGTGCTACCAAGAATAGTCCATCTTGTTTGACTTGCAGATACCTTGATGCCTCTTTGCCTTGGAATAATGGGAAGTGGCTTGGGCCCTTAGCTTTATAGAAGATACTGGATGACACACAAGATCAAAAACTTTGGCAACCTCCGCATACTACAAAAGCACAAGCAGGACTGAAGCAGGCTACACCAAACAGTCTGGAAAGCATGTCCAAAATAAGCCTGTACAGACATGACTCTTTATAGATTATTTCTGCTTCACCCTTTTTGATCACTGTAGCAAAGATGATGAACATGGATAAGAAACAGGTGAACGGGAAAAACCAAATCTGCAAAGTATATAAACTATACGATAGCTTTTGTGGCTCTATCCCATTGACGCTACAGGAGTCATATCACAAGAGGGTTTCCCTCACCTAAGCATCTCTTTCCTGATAAGACATTCACATTCT